TATATATATATAAAACATTCGGCCGTTAAAGGTTAAAATGGCCCTCTATTATGTGGAATTCAGACTCGCTCTTACCTGCATCTCCTTTTCAGCTATCAAGTCATACACCAACTGCTTTGCGTACTGTAAAAAAATTAAAATAAAAACATCGAATGTTAATAATAAAAGTAACAAAAAACATTTTGCAGAAGTACCTTAATCCTATGAAACAGGAATAGCTCAGATGATATATATTTACAGGATATAGGCTAGATGGACAAGGAATCATGGTTCTATTCCTGACATATATTCTTTTTTCTCCTCCACAGAATCCAGACTGGCTCCAGAGGCCTCATAACCAATGAGTAAATGGAACATTTTCCCTAAGGGTTAAGCAACCAGGGCATGAAGCTCCCCCATATGACCTCATGCCATGGTGTTTAATTAAGGAGGGAAAGTACTTTTAACTTTACATTAACCCCATACTTTCCAACAATACACCTGACTTAAAGGTAGAGCCAAAGGAACTATAGCTATCACATCTTGTACAGCGAAAACACCCTGCCATAACAACTCATGACAAGGACTCCCATTACAGTGACTGGTACCACCACATTCTGACCGCTGCAGCACATTGAGAAAACTATCAAATGCAAGGGGCTTTTTATGACCAAGTCTGTCATACTGAGCGATTCCTACAAAAAGCCACTGCTTCCCTTTAACTTTTTCATAACCTATTCTTGTAGTTTTGCTGCTCAAGTTACTTATGGCTAGCAGCTAGTTAAGTCCCCTTAACCCACCCTCTACCTCCTTCCCCTACCTAGGAGAAAGTCTGCATTCCACTGTCTATAAGCAATTTGCCCCTAAGTTTAACCACTGAGAAATGGATACCATATGATGTCCACTGCACTGTGCACTCCTCCTCGTCACACAAGTTTACACTTTCCATGAGGTTTTCTGGCCTGGATGAGACAATATCACAGAATACAACTATAAAAATGCATGTTTATGGTTGTCACATCAGACATCTACAGTGTTTCAGATGGTGCTGACTGCAAAGATTTTTAAATATCCTGATTATGGTTAACATAATAGCAGAGCTTGGATTTGAATACAAAGCTTAAACAGTAGATGTGAAGTCAGGAGCATATCAACGAACAGTATCGATTAACCTTTATCCTACGGCCCTTTAAACTTAGGCTGTGGCGGCGGTACGGAATTATTTAAAGGGCCGCTCTTAGAAATCCGTAAAAGCTGTAAGTTACTTACTAATTTTGCTCCTATTTCTGCTATTTCTGTGATAATCGAACGAAATAAACGCTGTTTTTTTCTCGAAAGAATATAGAATCAGATATTGTAATTTACNTTTTTTTTAGAATTCCACACGAAGGCAACATTCCAGCAGATGACGCAGGTGGGAAGACAGACACTCCATGCAGATGGTGGCCAAAAATTATATAAGTAGGACATTATTTTCTACCTTAAACATGTATTTTAAAATAACGTCCGCACACGCGGACTGTGCGACACCATATGGCGTCATTCGTACCGCTGCCTTTACTATCTGCGACGACATACGGTGTCTTTAGTCGTTTAAAGGTTAACTTCTCTGACACTCTTTATGATACTAATCAAAGAGAAAATTTAGTACATTCTAAACATATGCCAACTAACATGGTTTCCTTTTGTGAGTACATACTGGCAAATCTGTTTCACAACCTCAGTTTCTGACTGTGTGACACATACTGAGATAAGATCTGTACCATCAGTGTAAGGTCATAGTCATGGGCATTACAGATAGCATGGATCATTTGATGGAAAAAATAAACAGTTATGCATTTGTGTACAGTTTACATACCATTACCATAACATGCATTTTGCAGTAAAATACAATGGCTAATTCACAATCAGCACTTATACATTTAATATCAAAAAGTTATATGTATTTGCACTGTGGAATTTAGAACAGTCCACAACATAATGTACATATGTAAACCGCTTCCCATGTCATGCCTGTCGTAAGGTGATCCATTTATTCTGTGTACACATAAATAGTGAGTTATCAGCAGAATGTGGATGGGATTTTTTTAATTTTTGAGTGGAATATGAGCAACTGTGGGTGTGCAGAGAATAGTGCATATTGCATCTGCTCATAAAAAATGGCTCCTACCTGACAGTCTGCTGCAAAAGAGGTTGTTTAAGAAAATGTTCAACACTTCAGATAATTAGATACTATAGGGTTCTGATGATGGTGTATAACACACAGAGATACTGGGTTTTCGGACTTTGTCCATCGTCCGGATCCTTCCTTTACAACATTAGAACGCCTGAAAATAAAGGTCCAGTGATAGAGGCTAGCTCTTTCTAAGGGAACCAACAGAGCAGGTGTCTTCCCTCACCTGTGGACCGAAACAGATCCAGTTTCTGAAACGTTTTTTCTCTTAGTTATTTAGAATCCAGATGATGGACAAAGTCCAAAAACCAGTATCTCTGTGACTTCAGATAATGCTGGCAATGATGACAATGCTGAATTATTCATCATTATTTTCATATCTCCATGATAATCACTTCAAAGAAGAAGAAATATTGCCTTTCCCTGAGTATTGTTTAAACCTTAGTGCCATACTGTATCACACATAATCAGATGATACATACTTCAGCCATCTTAGGATATTACAAATATCTGCTGTATTTTAAAAATGTTAAAAAATTCTCATATAATAATTCTACTGTAGTTTTAGCAATACTGTTGTATCAATATGGCATCCTGGCCATAATTTGGGCAATTTCAATTAGGGCACAAAGGGTGAATTCTTAAAAAAGACTTCTATATCCAGCAATACATAACCATGCTGCAAACAATATTTTCACTTGGCATGGCACACCATTCAATAAGCACTTTCCAGTTGCACCTCACATAGAAGAGACTTCTTCAGACTTTTAAGGCATACCAATTCATAAATTAAAAGTACCTCAACTTTCTGTGGCTCTCCACTGATTCTAAGTGGCTTCTCCTGTTCCTGTGTTGGGCCATCTTGAATTACAACCATCTTGGCTCCTGATTTCTCCTGTAGCTGCTTTATTGTCTCACCACCTTTCCCAATGATCAAACCAACCTTTGGGCCAGGTACCATGATCTCAACCTAATAAATAAACACAGCTATAATGTTCAGATATTCTTATCACATTAAACCCCAATTCCTCTGAATTGGAGATGAAGTTACAAGCTTCGAAGTGTCTGGCTGATTAGCTGTTGTATTACCTGTTAAGAATTTACCTAATGTACAAATGTAACATTGATATAAGCACTCGTGAACAAAATATTTCAGCACACTTTCCCGTTGGATATCTGAATATAATGAAATCACTAATAATATGCACAAACAATTTACACAAGTGAAAACTTTTCAGTTTCTGAACAGATAAATCAACTGATCTTTCTTCAAAAAGTTCATGTACATCTTTGACATAAACTCTTCAGTTCTGCCAAACACTCAAGTTTTTTCATTACATCACTTGAACAAATTACAGAGTCCAACACAAGCATTTTCTGGCTAAAACTTGGGGTTATAAATATGGTAAGTAACTATTTCCCCAAAATTTCATGTCTCAAAGTTGGGGGTACATAAATTAGGTAAAGAGATGTATTATATAAGTAAATGTGATAAATGAAGACCAGGTTTTCCCAAGTGCAGAGGACAAACTACAGATACTGAACCCCCCCCCCTTACACACACACACACACAAATTTAAGAAGTCCAAGGATATACGGGTAATAGTATCCCAGAAAACCATTGGATGAAATAATGCTTTGGAACAGATAATTTTAAAATATTACTATAACCTCACCAAGGCCTCATTAGCCATTCCTGCTTTGTTATATTATTCAAGATATGAACTTTGAGAAGATCAATATGGTAACAGGATACACAACTATAAGCCTGAGGACAAAGCAAGATGAACTGGAGGTAGGGCAGGTTCATAGCCCTAATTCATGGGCACATATGATGGAATATCACAAAACAGGTCTTACTTTTTACCTCAGAAACGATTAACTGGGGGGGGGAAACGTTCACTATGTGCATACCCATCTAGTCAGTCATTAGTCATGGTATCACATGATACATCTGACATAGTGGGAGACAGTTCCAGACAACTGAACAGTTGCTAGCAACAATTAACACTCCATACCAAAATTTCCAAAATACAGTAAAACTTGGTTATAGCAACATCGGTTTCTGTGACACCTTGTCTATTGCGTCAAATATTCAATGGTACGAACTAATTCCTCATAAAGGAACTGTTTTTATACCTTGCTTAGTACGACATGCACAAATGCATCAACCTCGTATGTAACGTCATTTTCATTCCTGAATTTCTCTGATATGGACATTGAACGTAATTTAGAAAGTGTGTATTGGGCAAGTAACAGGAAACAGATGAAGATAACTGATTACTGTACTCGTATCTAGGTACAGTAAGGCACAACAATTGATGTAATCTACTGTAATTTGGTGAGCAGGCCTACCTTTAATATACAGTATTAGTGTGGTGTGTACTGTCAGTGAAAAGCGCTGTAATATGTCTTTGATATTACACATTTGGGCAATTCCACGTTAATGTTACGTTAGTCTGTACTTAACTACGTATTTCACTAAAAAAATGCAACATTTTAACTCAGTTTTTGGTAGATTTTTACGTGACTAACATAAGGCTACTGTGGAAGTGCCCATTTCGGTTACGACGACATTCGTTTATAACGACACTATTTTTAGGTTCCTTTGATGACGTTATAACCAAGTTCTACTGTACATACTTTATCCATACTATGCAAACATTGTTACACTCACATGAGCATGGTTGGGTGGGCCACCTCCCATATTCATGTCACCCATGCTTGATCCTGTGCCTTCAGTCCGACTACGCTGCTGCACAATGTTCATTATCAGCTCCTTTGCTCGACTAAAGACAAGAAAACTTGTTAACTTTCCAATCACTGACAAATCAGAAACGTACAAAATACTAATACCATGAACTGATGAAAGCGGAAAGTATGCGTAACTGTCTGATAATGAGAACATGCTAGGATTCTGCAGCATGTTGCCACAGCCACTGTTCCTTCTAGGCTGTGCACACACTCATCCACTAAAATGTGTCTGCTTACATTCTGTCATACTCTGTGTAGTCAGCAAAAAAGTGCAATTGGTCTTCCCACTGGATAGGAGGTTGGGTTGACCCCAGAGCCAACTGCTATACAGTGGAACCTTGCTTAACAAGCACCTCTCATAACGAGCACAATTGTAACGAATGACTCGCTTAACAAGTGACGTTTCACATAACGAGTGATGAGAGGGGAAGTCCCGGATTGTTCGCTTGCTACATCAGTCTGTGTTTAGCACTCGTTCCGCCAGCATCTTAGTGTTGCTTGTGATCACACATTTTTCCAAACTTGTGTTCAGGCATATTATTTGTGATTTTTTTTGTGCAAAGTTTAATAACCCTTACAAAAATATCCCCGAAGAAAAAGCCACAAAAAGACAACCATAAGATAATAAAAATAAAAGTAGAAATGAAAAGTAAAATCATTGAAAAGCGAGAATGAGGTGTGAGCGTGGCTGATGTAGCACGCACATGCAATCGGTCTACATCAAGATTTGCACTATCCTCAAGAACAAGGACAAGATTAAGGAGATAGATGCTTCAAAGGGAGTGACAAGAATATCTACACAATGGTTACGTATTCTCTACGATGTTCAAATGTTGCTCCTCCTATGGATAAACGAAAAGCAATTGCAAGGCGACACTATTAACAAGAATGTCATTGTAAGATTTGAGGCTTTCACGGCGGTGACTATGAAGAAAGCAGTCTTCTGGGATTTGGCACCGTGCATATGTGAACGTCATTTGTGAGAAGGCGAAAGTTATTTTTGCCGACCTCATTAAGAAGACGCCAGGATCATCAACAGCCAAAGCAGCAGCATTTAAGGGAAGCCGTGGGTGGTTCGAGAAGTTTAAGAGAAGAACCAGCATCCACAGCTTTGTAAGACACAGTGAAACAGCAAGCTCCGACACAAAGGCAGCAGAGAACTTCATCAGCGACTTCAAGAAGCTCATAGATTCTGAGGGTTACCTGCCGCAGCAGGTTTTTAATTGTGACGTGACGGGTCTCTTCTGGAAAAAGATGCCGAAGCGAACCTATATAACAGCAGAGGATAATGCATTGCCTGGCCATGAGCCAATGAAAGACAGTCTCACGCTGCTATTTTGTGCCAATGCAAGCAGCGATTTGAAAATTAAACCGCTGCTTGTTTACCATTCAGAAACTCCACGAGCCTTCAAGAAGTGTAAAGTCCAGAAGAGCAGGCTAAATGTGATGTGGAGGTCCAACAACAAGGCTTGGGTGACACGTGACCTTTACTGATTGGATCTATGAAGTGTTTGGTCCTTCTGTGAAAAAATATTTGCTTGAGATGAATCTACAACTCCATGTCTTGCTTGTTATGGACAACACTCCTGCCCATCCTCCACACCTACAAGATGACCTCCTTGAAGAATTTAAATTCATCAAGATCCAGTTTCTGCCTCCCAACATGACTCCATTAGTCCAGTCTATGGACCAGCAGGTTATTTCTAACTTTAAGAAGCTGTACACTAAAGCACTCTTCGAGCGTTGTTTTGAGGTGACTGAAGGGACCAATCTCACTCTCAAAGAGTTTTGGAAATATCACTTCCACATCGTTGCCTGCCTCAAGATGATTGAAAAGGTGTGGGATGGGGTTACCAAGAGAACCCTCACTTCTGCTTGGAAGAAGCTTTGGCCAGAGAGCGTTGGCAAATGTGACTTTGAGGGGTTTGAGATAGTACCTGCGGAGCCTGTAGTAAACAATATTGTGTCTTTGGCCAAATTCATGGGGCTGGAGGTGGATAACAATGATATCGATGAGCTTGTGGAAGAGCACAGCCAAGAGCTGACTACCAAAGAGCATATGGAGTTGCATTGTTTCACAGCAAGAAGTTGAGGAGGAGAGCTTGTCAGAGGAGGGGGAGGAGGTAACAGCAAAGCAACAATCTTCTGGAGCAATAAGAAATATGCTGACAGCATGAGAAACTGTTGCATCCTACACTGAGAAGCATCACCCTAATAAGGCAGTGATTATGCGTGCTACAAATTTATTTAATGATAATGCTGTGTCACATTTTCACCAAATTTAGAAGCGTTGGCAAAAACAAATGTCTCTAGACAGCTTTCTAGTAAAAAAGAATTAGATATGTATCATAAATAATAAACAAATTATTTCGAGTTTTTTTTTTTTCCCTGCAAATCAAATTTGCATTCCAGGTTGGTTCATTCCACATAGAAGAAGAGATGAAGATGATTCACACTACTTAACAATGTATATATAATTTTCTTTGAACAAACATTATACATAAAATATTTTTGAGTATTTTTTTCGGCATGGAACGCATTATTGTATTTTACATTAATTTATATGGGAAAAATTTCGCTTAACGAGTGTTTCGCATTACGAGTAAGATTCTGGAACGAATTATGCTTGTTAAGCGAGGTTCCACTGTACTGCCTACATTATCCCACTCCAGTAGTTGAAGCAATAAAAAATTATATTAGAATAAAAGTATTGACTATATTATCAGATGGCATCATGTCAGAGGATACCTATACAGACTTTACTACACGTTTTCTTTAAACACATGAAACTAGTCTCATGGGTATCCCAAACCTTTGTACAATACTTCCCTCTCAACTGAATTATAGGCTTTCCTGAATTCTATGAATAGCTGATGTACTGTCACATTGTACTCCCATTTTTTCTCCAATATCTGACAAATGCAAAAGATCTGATCTGTAGTTGATCTGTTACGTCAAAACCCACACTGATGATCCCCAATATTTTCATCTGTATATGGACTTAACCTTGAGAGAAGAATACTGGATAAAATTTTTTACGAAGTTGATAGCAGTGATATCCCTTGATAATTACTAAAGTTAGTTTTATCGCCCTTCATGTGAACTGGTACAATAAGAGAATCCTTCCACTGATCAGGCAAATTTTCTTTATGCCAAATAGAATTAATTAGCCTGTGGATTTTAGAACATAATATTTTGCCTCCTGCTTGAATAAGTTCTGCCAGGATTTGATCACTACCTGGCGATTTATACCGTTTCAATTTTGCAATAGCACTTGCAACCTCAAAAGGGCTAGATCAGGTACTAACAGCTCAGCTGTATGGATTTCTGTCTGCCTAACATCTCTGACCCTATGTACATTCAATATCAGGGTACATGTTCCTCCACCTATTCAAAATGTTGCGGGAATCTGGAAGCAGATCACCATTCTCATCCTTCACTAAGTTACTGTTAGGTTGGTAACTCACCTTGAAGTCATTTATTCCTCTATAGAGGTCTCTAATGTTCTTCTTACTGTATCAATTTTATCTTCCAGATATTCCCCCTTTTTATTCCTGAAATGCCTGCTGGTTTCACTTATTATACTGTTCAGATTATTCCCATTTATTTCACGTGGATCCCGTAACCATTGCAATTTGGCCTGTTATCTTTGGTCTAATTCTGAGCATCCTTCATCAAACCATGGCTTATGCTTCTTCAGTTCATAATAACCTAGACTCTCCTTGGCGGAAATTTTGATATTTTCTCTAATAGTTTCCCAAGCTTTATTAACATCCACCTCAGTGTCCAAGTTTTCCAAAGCCGTGAACCTATTTGAGATTTCAACGCGATACTGCTCTTTACCCTCTACCTTATTTAATTTCTTGATATTGAACCTCTCCATATGAACTCTGTGCGTTGTTTGTTTGCTCACTGCCAGTCTTTCCATACCTTTGCCACCACAAGGTAGTGGTCAGTATCACAATCTGCTGGCGTGAATGATTGGACAACAAGTATACTTGAATGACGTCTATCTATCAAAATATAGTCGATTTGATTGTGTATCTTCCCATCAGGAGATGTCAAAGTAAATTTATGGATGTTACGATGCAGGAACATTGTACTTTTGACAGTAAGATTTTCTGATGTGGCAAAGTTTACTACTCTAGCTCGTTTATCATTAATATTTTCATGCAAACTCTTATTCCCAATCGGTTTGAAAACGTCTTCCCTCCCTACTCTAGTATTGAAATCTAACAAAATTTTCATAGGGTACTTCTGGAATTTATCAAATACATGTTCTAGTTCTTCACAGAAACTGCCCTTTATGTCATCAATTTTATGTTCTGTTGGGGGGGTGAACCTTCATAACGNAGGTAGTGGTCAGTATCACAATCTGCTGCCCTGAATGATCGGACAACAAGCATACTTGAATGATGTCTCCTATCTATCAAAATATGGTCGATTTGATTGTGTATCTTCCCATCAGGAGATGTCAAAGTAAATTTATGGATGTTACGATGCAGGAACATTGTACTTTTGATAGTAAGATTTTCTGATGTGGCAAAGTTTACT